CGCCGGGGGTGGGGGGGGCCCCGCCGAATCTCTATCCAGTGAAGCTCTACGTGTACGACCTGTCCAAGGGCCTGGCTCGGCGGCTCAGCCCCATCATGCTGGGTGAGGGGTCTGGGGCTGGGTGGGAAGGAGGGCGGGAGCGGGGCAAGGGGTTGCCGACTGGCCGACGTGGAGAGCCTTTGGCCAGGACGTGAGGGGAGGCGCTGGGCCCTGAGGATGGACAGAAGGGAGGAGTCTGGAATTTGGGCCCCCAAGCCTTGTGTTCCATCTTCATGTTTGAATCCCGAGAGAAGGGATGGAGGAGTCACGCCCTCTCACTGAGAAGGGCTCGGGCAGAGACCGTGCCCTCCAGAGCCCCTTCAGCGAGGGGTCCGGGGGTGGCCCAGCGCTGGGTCCCGGCGGGCTGGCGTGTTCCCGGAGCCTCTACGCTCTGCTCTGCGCGGAGTAGGGCAGGCGAAGATCCTGCCGCGCGGTGCCCTCGTGCTGAAAGGGACACTGCGGCGGAGATTCTCGGTTACTCCGGGAGAGCCTTCTCCCCGTACAGAAGGAGCTCCCTCTGCAGTCCCTGGAATAGATGGGAAGGGAGCTAGAGCTGCGCTCGAGGGCCCGGGTAGAGGTCAACAGGACCCAAGGCAGGGCTGCAGGAGCCGGAACTCCCGGATTCACCAAGTTCGCCCTGACTGTGCGGTCTTCTCTCAACAGTTTCTAAAGTAATTGCTTTTGCCCAGATGGTAAGAAAGCATTTCTGGAGGAGTAGATGCTGCTATATCCGCAAGGATTAGTAAGGGAAGTATTTCGGTCATGTCCCATTAAACTACTTAACTGCTGGGAGAAAAAGTTGCCCCCCTTCAATATCCATCAAACCTCATTTCAACCTAAATACCCGAGTGTCCTGTGTAACATAAGAGCTGTCAGATTTGTGATTTCAGGTAATAATGGGCAGAAAGGGATTCCAGGAATTGAAAATTGAACAGCTTTGGCAACATCCATTTGAATGGCTAGTTTTTCCTGGCTTCTAGGGAGACACTATAGAATGATTCAATTCATGGGGCAGAGGTCAAGTAAGCAAGGCAACTTTTAAGTGCATCTTTTCAATGTCCTTGAGTTTCTAATGTGTCATAGTGAGTTGAACTTAATCTCTAACCCCGGGCCAGTTTCTATATTTGTCTTCACATCAGTATCATCTAGGGTGCTTGTTAAAAATACAGATACCAAAAAAAAAAAAAAACCCCACAGATACCTTCCATTCCAACATACATTCTGAAATGAAATTAGGGGGAAAAAAGATTAGAGCAGTTCTTTAAGAATGCATTTAAATCAAAGGATCTATATGTGCTTGCTTGGACAAATAATTATTTGGAAAGATACACAAGAAATCGATAATATCAGTAACTTATGGAAAGGGGAACTTGCTGCTGGGGGACAGGAGTAAAAGGAAAATTTTATTGTAAACTTTTTTTACCGTTTGGGTTCTGTACTACATCTACATATTATCTATTCAAAATAAAAGTCTTAAATATGTGGATTCTAGAGCCTTACTTCACAGGTTCTAAATCAGAAACTCCTGGAATCTTGATCCAAAATTTTTTATTTTTAATAAATTCAGATAATTCTTACATAGTTGTCATTGGACAGACTTCTGGGCCTAAGTCACCAGTTAAAGTGAGTAAGGCAAATCTGAAAGCAAAACTTACAAAGTCACCGGGGAAGGTGTTACTCATAAATAGATTAGCATCAGTTGAGTTCTAGCTAACATCTTGGAGTGGAGCCATTTGGTTAGGTTGATCAGAGTGAGGCGGCAGTTATTTTTAAACCCAGAGTAAAAGCCTCCCCCATTATTCTGAGTTTGTTTGTTTTTGTTTTCTTGCCTAATAATTGCTGTTTTTAGCTAAAAGAGGCCAGAGCAGTCATTGCTTCACTCATTCAATAGGCATTTATTGAATGCCTCCCTGTGCTAATCAATGTGTTAAGCTGAGGATGATATAATGAATGAAGATGTTCTTTGCTATCATGAAGCTATTAAATAGGTGAGGCAAAAGTGAATAAAATACATGTTCAAGTAAAATACTTACATATTGCCATATGTGCCATACTAGGCAGGAAGCAAATGGGTGATGAGAGAGAAAATGACAAGAGAAGCCAACCAGTGGCATGGGGGTTAAAGTGGCTGGATCCCACGTAGCCAACTGCACAGTTTGAATTCTAAACCTGACAGTTTGAAAAATACCCTAGGAGTGTGTGCATGCATGCCCAAAATCCGGAGAAGGGAATGAAGAAGGGATTGCTGCATAGCCATCCCCCTGGGGGGCAATAGAAGGGGTTATCACCTCTAGCTTCTCGTTCCAGTGAGCACATGCACTGCACCCTCCATCAAATTGAAAGGAAAAAAAAAAAAAAAGAGCAGGGTCAGTCAATAGTATAGTGGTTAAGGTGCTGGATCCCATGTAGCCAACTTTGTGGTTCTAGTCCTGGATCTGGCAGCTTAAAAAACACTTGGACA